AGTAGCATCATTGGGAATTTCCGTAGTAACGCGACGATAGATTAAAAACATAACTCGGGTCATGTTCGTAGTAGCTAGGTCGAGCTCCATATGGCCTAGTGCTCAGACCTATATATATTATACCTAGACTATAAAACGGATACAAATTCTTATCCTATCATGGAACTATAGATAATGATCAGCTCGCAGAGGTATATATTCTATAAACAACAACTTTTCTTCTTATGACTAATATACCAAACAACGCCTTGTTTCAGCTTTTTTGAAGTTTTTAACGACATTTTTGTGTAGCGCTAGAGACCTTTATGTCCATTCTAGGTATAATATATACGACTGTGGTCTAGTGGTTCTCAAAATAGAGCTCGCAGAAGACGTAGCATTATCGACACACAAGTCCCACCTGGTGATGCGAACAGATTCTCTCCCGCATAAGAAAATCCTCCCACATTTGACCTGAACTCTCCAGTGCTGTGTGAGAAGTTACATTTAGTTGCGTGTGCTTGAGCATTAGTCTCTAGAGCTGAGTCCCAGGCCTGGTAGAAAGAGAACAAGAAAGTTATTACTTAGTAATTATTAAAATGTATTTGTTTCCCTTAATAACGAAATGGCTACCTAGTCGTGTAGTGACGTGTAGTATTTGCTGTTGTCATGGTGGGGAGGGGGGGGGGGGTAAAGCGCTTGGATTCCGAACCGGAAGTCCCGGATTCGAATCCTTGTTAATACTTGGATTTTATATTTTGGGATCTTTGAGTCCACCCAGCTCTTGTGGGGAAAAGTAAAGGCGTTTGGTCGTTGTGCTAGCCACATGATATCCTCGTTAACCGTGGGCCACAGAAACAGATGACTTTTACATCATCTGCTCTTTAGATCGCATGGTCTGAAAGGGAATTTAGTGGCTTAGAAGTTAGAATTAATCTTTATCTTATCGTCCTTTCTTTTTTCAATGTTCTCTGTATCCACACATAGTATTGATTCTCAAACAGTGTTGTAAAGTCATTCTCAAACAGTGTTGTAAAGTCATTCTCAAACAGTGTTGTAAAGTCATTCTCAAACAGTGTTGTAAAGTCATTCTCAAACAGTGTTGTAAAGTCATTCTCAAACAGTGTTGTAAAGTCATTCTCAAACAGTGTTGTAAAGTCATTCTCAAACAGTGTTGTAAAGTCATTCTCAAACAGTGTTGTAAAGTCATTCTCAAACAGTGTTGTAAAGTCATTCTCAAACAGTGTTGTAAAGTCATTCTCAAACAGTGTTGTAAAGTCATTCTCAAACAGTGTTGTAAAGTCATTCTCAAACAGTGTTGTAAAGTCATTCTCAAACAGTGTTGTAAAGTCATTCTCAAACAGTGTTGTAAAGTCATTCTCAAACAGTGTTGTAAGTAGCTCTCTGTTATGAGCGGATAGATTTTGTTTTATTTGTCGTCTTAGGACATCAGTGGGGGGGGGGGGGGGGGGGGGGGCCTCCAGAAAGTAAAAGTGTAAGTGATACATTTGATTAAAAAAAAAAGGACACGAGATCAAAGTTGCAAGTCCTCTGATTGTCATTACCGTTAGCAACCAATTTAATATGTGTGTGTACAAAAAAAAAATATCAAAAGGCCAATCTGGCATGCTCCAATTAATCACTATAGCTTGTGACCAGAGAACAGAACGTTTTTTAGTGTACTTTTGGTTTGGTCATGGCCACAAAGTCTTGGTAATTGAGACTAAATTGTTTTTAATTACTTTTGATTCAATAATAATAATATTAATCCTTATCAGAATCTGCCTAGCTGGGTCGCCATAACCAAGTTGCAAAATTAATAACCAAAACTTGGCTACAAGTCTACTGATCATTTATTGTACAGGGATAGGCTTATTTTAACTAAAAAACAATAGATTTTAATCGCCCTGGTCTGCTGTTTATATTTTTTAAAAAAACGCTTTCATTATTAACATCGCGTAAAAATGTCACAAAATAAAAGAAAAACTGAAAAACTGAAATAAAAAAATACAAAGAAAATATGGGAGCCTAGGCTTGGAGATAAAGCGTTTATGGAAATTATCAATTAATATCCCATTGTTATATCAACCGAAAGAATAATGACAACTGACCTCACAGATACCTTCAAGGTATCATAAGAAGATTCTCGTTGCCTGTCAAAGCGCGGTACTTTTACAGCCTGCCGCATCACCAGAGAATTCCTCAGTGGACACTGATAAAGGGACTACAATGAATTTAGTTTCTCTTTAGCGAAACTCGACCCTGGCAGTGCCAGAGAATCTTATCTTATCTTATATAATACAGACGTTACTTCAAAAAAGAAGATGATTACGTCCTACGAGTCATGCATTCAGTCATGCAATGGAACACATCTGAACACATCTGAATGTCATCCTTTAACTCGTTCCATTCTAACAATAATAATAATAATAATAATACTAATTTACGACTTAAAGGATAACATTCAGATGTGTTCTATTACCTACCATTGTTAACATGTCAGAGCTTGGTTCATCAGTTCTCAACTTGTTATGGCGAGTCACTATGTCAGAACTCTCTGTGGACGTGAACCCAGACTTAATTTGTCTCTTCATCACCTCACGGGGAGCTACGAATTGAGAAGCGTCATGAGCTGCAACGATACGAAGGGTCATTAAAGCCTTAGGGTTCAAACATCTTGTCGATATTGGTCACGTGTCTAGCTAAAAATAAAACAGTACCAAGCATTTGTCAACAAAGTGGATACCGCAGACTTGTAAGAATAGTAGACACCACTCAATGGTCAGCATGTAGGTTTGAAAAATAAAAAAAAAAGATAGCAATCTTATCTTATCTTATAAAATACAGACATTACTTCCAAAAAGAAGATTATTAAGTCCTACGCGTCATGCATGTTAACCAATGACCTAAATTCTGCTACGTCACTGGTTTTCCTGGCTAGCTCAGGCAACCCATTCCATGCTGTAATATCACTAGGAAGGAGCATTTGTACAAATTTGCCCTAGCATAAGGAACGAGGATGTTTTAACAATGGTGACGTATGATAGGCTGATGGTTTATATATTTATGTGTTTGACATGCTTTAGATGTTCCTTCAGATTTGAAGATTATTATATCCTTTCCCCAACCTCCCGCAGGTCGACGGGGGATGGCGACGGACAGAATTTAAACATGGGACCATCAATACGACAGTCCAGAGCGCATACCCCACGTGTTCTGTTGTCACAGATAAATATTAACATAAACATTCTGTAGACATTAATTATTACTAACTAGTCGACCTGCGGCGTAGCATACGCCGCTATTTTGCAGGGCCGGCCTTTCGGTGCCTGCAACCTACGCGACCGTAGTGGGCCCCGCACTTTCATAGGACCCGCACTTTCATAGGGCCCGCTCTAATTCAAGGTGAAGAAATTAATTAATCAAACCATTTTATAACTTAAAGCAGATATCCCGCGCCCTCCTGGCTGGAAATCTCCCGAAATCGCAAAATATATGAAAAAGTTCTTAAAATATACGGAAATATATACATGAAAATTGTCATTTTGGGTGGCATTCAATATGGAAAACGCCAATCTTACGCACGACATTATGCATCAGCCGTAATTGTGAATCTGGTGAAAGAAGCTTCTTGCGTCTCAAACTAATGAAGAAATACTTGAGGTCAATAATTCTCAAAGATAGAATGAAACATTTGGTAATTCTTTCTATTGAGCGTGATCTATGTAGGAAACAATTATTATGATATACTGTATGACTTCGCTACACGCAAGGCTCGTAAAGTATTTCTGTACGTAGTAAAGAATGAGTAAAATGCATAGAGGAATTTATTTTCTAATACAAACTCTTAAATTTCACTTATTATTTGCTTCCCTACTCAAACTTGGCCTCGCGAAATCCGTTTCGCATAACTCCCTCTGTCCAAGTTGCAAAAGTAAAAGAGTGATCTTTCCATTGTGTCCAAACTCTTGAGCGTGCTCTGTCGCCTCGATAGTTACTACAGAGTAGATTACTCCCCCCCCCCCCTTTTTTTTTTAACGTGATGTAGAAATAAAAAAAAAAAGAGAGATATTGCAACGGTCCTGCCCTGCTGTGTTGTGACTACGTGTTCTCCCCCCCCCCCCCCTTCTCTTGTTTTCTCGTGGACTATCCGCAGAGTGATCTTTCCTTTACTTCTCGACAAAACTCTTGAGGGAAAAAGAGAATGATATGTATAGGTAATAATAACGGAGACTGTGTTTATCAAAGTAGACATAGAAGATTATCTTTTTACTTCCGTTCAATCCTTTTTGCTTTTGCACAAAACATAAACAACAAACAATGACGTCATATCATATAATATTAGCACATCCTTCCTTTTGAAGCTATTATCACAACACGACCAGGAATGTATTGTTCATGAAACGTTTCAAAGGTCGTTACAAATACTGTGTCCCTAGGAAGTCTGTATTTGTCATTTGCGCTCTAGGAATATTTCCTGCAGACGACAGTTCTATAACTTATTTAACATGAAACTAATCTTCAAATACAAAAACAAAATTTAATAAAATACTCTAAAAGACACAAAGATAAAGGCACATTCCTCGTCCCATATGCTAGGACAAATTTGTACAAATGCTTCTTCTATCCTAGTGCTATTAGAGCATGGAATGGGTTGCCTGAGCTAGCCAGGAAAACCAGTGACTTGGCAGAATTTAAGTCATTGGTTAATATACATGACTAGAATGACACAGGAAATGCGTAGGACGTAATTATCTTCTTTTCTGAAGTAACGTCTGTAAGATATAAGATAAGATAAAAAAAATAAGACTACTGTCAATACCAAAGTTTACCCCTAAAGTCATTAAGATAAGAGGAAAGCGTGGTCGAGAGGCTAAGTGCACTTGAACTTGGCTTTGCTTGGCTACCAAGAAGGGGGCTCGAGGTTCGAACCCGACTCGGGCAGAGTTGTGTTTACTGAGCGCCAAAGGCAGCACGGAATAGATACCCCCTCCCCTCACTGGTCCACAAATGAGATTGGACCATAGCGTGCTATGCTATAAGCATGAAAGTAGCGCTATATAAAAGCTATAAATATATAAATGTACTTCTTTAACTAGAAGTTACGGATGGATTTTTTTCTTTTACAAAAAATATTGGAATTTATTTTTACAAACTAAAAACGTGAATTACTCTTTGAGTTGGCAAAGCAGCAGTGCAAAAAAAAAAAAAAAAAAAAAAAAAAAACACAAATGTGCATTATGTAGATAATAATGGCGACCGTGTTCTATAAGTGTCTCCGCGTGCTACTTGAACCCTCTCCGCGCGCTCAAAGGGTCACGTATCACACTTAGGGGAACTCTGAAGTAGGCTGGTCAAACGCTAAGAGAAGTGAAGAGCTCTCCAAAAGGCATTGGCAATCTTTTACTAACCTATATAGTTTATTGCCAGCAGTGGTTGAAAGCCGTATTCAATAAATAAAATAGACTTGTCAAAAAATGTCACAATTAACAGCACAACAAGTTCATTAACAGTTCGTCATGTGTGTTCGGTTTTTTCCCCCTTTCGTCGTGATTATTTACAAATAATCTGTTTAAACTGTCAAACTGTTTAAACCCATATAGAGGACGAAGTGACAAAATATTATTGAACTGTATTAAAAGACTCCATTAAATATATTTTTTAAATTTCAACCGTTAGGTGACTCTTGACTAAAAGGGGCCCTTAGAAGAAAAGGCCTTGATAAAATGTGGTACCACAGGAAGTGTCTTTTTTGTAAATAAATGTACAGATATAGACTATTCATATTGTGTCACAAATGTATATTAACTCATTCAGTTTGTCTGTCTTTCTGTCTGTCTGGTTAAAGGTTTGAACACCCATTCTAGGATAAAGTTCAAACTATGAACTATCATTTATTGGCGATGACATAAACAAAAATTTCAATTAGTCAATTGATAACTGGCAATTAATTATTTTGTTTGATACCAGCTAGGGAAATTTATCTTTAAGTACTCACTGATATGGTTTAATATGTGGGGTTGTGTCCCCTTAGATAATTGTACACGTTTTTCTTCCACACCCATTCTAGCATCAATCCTAACCCTAAATAATCATTTATTATACCTAACAAAAAATAAATCAATAAAATAAATTAATTAAACAAGAAGACTATTAATTATATGTAATTTATTTGTATGTTTGATATTGAAAAAGGAAATAACTTTTACATATTTAAGAGATACTTTTGTAGGTGTGCAGTAACCACTCTACTAGTGAAGAGCCTATGAATATCGAAGATTGTATAGTTATCTATTGTTTCTATTTCATGTTTGTGTTCAATAAGCCTCAGACTACAATCTATAAAAGGGGCTAAATCAGCTTTTTAATCATCTTACCTAACAAAACATGAATCAATAAACAAAAATACTCAATTATTCAATTAAATTATTGGTAATTAACTATTTTGCATAAACAAGGGAAATAACATTATTGGCGGATATTGTTTTAAGGACAGAGTTCTTCCCCTTTAGATAATATTAGTTTTTGCTTTACTGATGGTCCTATGACTTTCGTTTGAGTTTGGTTCTTGACGATCGTCAAGACTTGGCGAGTCAAAGCTTGAAGAGCTGGACAAGTTCACGTACCTTGGCAGCATCATAACAAATGATAGAGATGCTTACCATGATGTAGAGTGCCGAATAGGAAAGGCAGGGAGCATTTTCCAAAGGCTGCAGCCTATTTGGACTAGCCAAGCCATTGGACTCGAGACAAAAATACACCTTCTCAACACAATCGTCATTCCAACTGCTACATATGCATGTGAGACATGGAAGTCATCTGTCAAAATTGAAAAAAGACTAAATGTGGCTCAACAAAAATGGCTGAGACGGATTTTGGGATTCAGTTACACAGATCGGGTCTCAAACAAAGAAATACTATGCCGAACTGGGAGTCGAACACTTAGTGAGAATGTGACAGAGCGTCACATGAGGTTTGCGGCACATGTTCTACGTCAAAATGAATTACGCACACCAAGAATTGCGATAACATGGAAGCCAATACAAGGAAAGCGCAAACAGGGACGTCCTCGTATTACTTGGCGACACACCTTTATGGAGGACCTCAGAACAGTGGACACCAGGTGGGAGGATTGCTTCAGACATTGCCAATGACAGATCTTTATGGAGACAGCTCTGAATGCTGTTATGGTAGCTGAGGGAGACACATTTTAGGCCCAAATGAACAGCCTTTGCCGAAGACAGAGGCGTTGAAGAAGCAAAAACTAACTTTAAACTCATGGTGGACATCGGTTTTGTCGCAACTTGGTTTGTGTAGTCATGGAAAACATTGCACGCGTCCTTGATCTTCATTACGTGAACATTGCATTCTTCTTCATTATTATTATCATTTTAAACTTTGACCAATGTAACATTCAGACATGGTAATTATAACATTTAAAAAATCGGTTTAGGATAAAGATAGTTTTAAAGAACTGAATTAACAGACCTAGGATTATAAACAAACATAAGGTAGGCTCAAGACGCAACGAGAATATAAAAATAAAAAAAACAAAGCTACAAAGACACTTGTGTTAAATAAATCTAAACAGATCATGTTCTTCTTGAGCGAAGTGAAGCTTGTAGTTTGTTGCGCAACCATGTGGGACACCACGCACGCATGTCATGGGAAGATAACTCTTTTATTTCTGCAAGTCGGACTAGAGTTATCCCACGTAACTTTCGTGGCGACAGAGAGCGCGGCTCAGAAAAAAAAGAGGGGGGTGGGGAGGAGAACAAGTACTCCTCTGTCTGTATATATAACTCTCTACGTCGCCCAACCATGAGGTACACCAGGCACGCACGCCGACTGTCTAACCCTTCTCCCTCCCCTCTGTGTCTTTCAGGAAGTGTTTACCCGTCACTAAATAGTGTATGCTACGCCGCGAGTCGGTTAGTCAATTTAATATAAACATTTTATACGCTCAAAAGATTCTTATAAAATGCTTTGAAAATCAAAACGAGCAAGTCATTGTTGATAACTAATTGAGTGCTTCTAGTTCGGCTTAGACGCTTTCAGAGTTAATAATTTCTTGTTGTTTTTTTTACCGTAATTCTAGTTATTGTTTTTAGACAGCTCTTAGGCTGGGGTTGTAAGTATAGTGAATTAATTAACGGCTAGTGATTCTTCAAGAGACAAAGAACTAGCAAAACATAAAAATACTTTTAAACAAAACAAAGCTTATCTTAGGGGAAGAGCTCCACATTTACTAATATATCTCTCAATAATGTAGAAGTTTTTTTACCTTTTTGATATCAAACAAACTAATAAATTACCAATAATTAACTGACTAATTAGTAAATTTTTGAAATCCATGTTTTGCTAGGTACAATAAATATTGTTTTAAAGGTTTCTACTTGTTCCGAGAATGGGTGTGGGATAAATTACGTGTGCAATTATCTATGGGGAAATAACCCAAAATATTTAGCCTTATTTCCGAATACTGAACAATTTATTTCCCTTGTCAGTATCAAACAAAACAATTAATTACCAGTAATTAATCAAATATTTTTTTAAATTGATTCATGTATTGCCTATTTCAATGAATAATTATGCCAGGTTTCAGATTAATCTGGGAATGGGTCTGGAAGAAATAAAGTGTTTAAACTATTTTCTTGACAGACAAGAGTGAGTTGATATATGCTTTGTAAAAAAATCTATAATCTCAATTAAATTGTCGGATTATGCTAGCAACTTAACTTACCAAAAGATTTGGCTATGCTAAGTCCGCACATCAGGCTAACAATCAAGTCCCACTTCTTCAGGAATATAGTCATTCTTCCAGTAGGCCTATCTGCTTTAGAAACTTTTCTGTTTTCAACAAGAAGTATCACGATGCAATGATCTGGCGATCAGCTCAACGCGCTTTAAATAATTTCGGAACTGAAATACATAAGGTTTACACATTACTGAAACCTTCAACTTGATTCAACACGCTTTTGAATAGAATACTGCAAAAGAAGGACAGCTATTGTGAAACGCCTACAATGGAACATGGAAACAAAATTGAACAAATTACTTGGGTGGCTTTCAATAGTAAAAGGAGAGATAGCTAGGTGTTGCCTCAGAGGCGTAGTGAGCACATCGTGAGCTCGGGGCAAGAAACTTTATTTGCGTCCACCATTATCCATAGGCTTTAACAAAAAAGTATTTAATAATATTATAATACAAATAATCCTAGATTGTATTAATTTACTATAATATCTACAATAATTTTTTTTGCGCTCTGAGTGTGGCGCCTCCCTGATGGTGGCGCCCGAAACATCGTGCTCCTTGCCCCCCCCCCTAATCACTATGCCGCTACGCCTCTGGGTGTTGGGGAGGTACTAGTAGAAAAAAAATCAATTTAGAAATCTAATAGATTAAAATAAGATCTGCAACTTACCTCCCTTATTTCGAACTATAGTTTGTTTTCTGCGAGTGTTTGGAATGCAGACGACCTTTGATCGAGACTTAAGCAGCTAATTGGGTACATTTTAGTAGTGGTGCCTGTGAAGGGAACGGTGACCCGTGAATCATTGGGTGTAATAAGTCTTAGATTAAAAGTTCTTGTTTTCAATAATCCCTTCAGCTCATGGGAAAGGTAGCGGTTAATCTCTTGTTGCTACAGCTCCTCACTTGCGTCTTCTAACCACTGTCGTTTTAACAACAGGGCCACAATAGTATGCAGCAACGGTCTCAACCTTTTAAGTTCGGCGACCCCTTTTTACAATCTCACTCTTCGGCGACCCCCATCCACACAGCAATACAAGAATAGACAAAACAATCCATATTTTCGATGGTCTTAGGCGACCCATGGCAAATCGTCAATCAACTCCTAAGGGGATCGCGCCCCACAGGCTGAGAACTCCTGGTCTACAGGCTAAGAAGGCAGCGTGTCTAGACTGAGGCTTTTACAAATCTGACCAGAAAATTATTAGAAGGTGGTTTTTTTTTTTTTTCATTTCAGATATTTATTTTTTAGTTAAACATTCCTAAAGATCTTAATAATAAAATCATGTAATGAGATCAAAATAACTTTTCGACATTTAGATGACACAACTTAGAATACAACATCGTCGAAAGTTTAAACCAGCTTTTTAACTACTTACTAATAAATAAGATGTTAAAAGATCTCATTTGTTTTAGATATATAGATCATTAAACATACACAGAAAGATCCTAGGCGTCACCTACAAAGACCGCATCACGAATGCAGAGATTAGAAACAAGATTAATACAGCAATTGGA